CAATTGGTCAGATTACACGTCACTCAGATCGGCCATTACAGACTCTGTGAACTCTGACACCGCCGCGTCACACAGTGGGCAAGAGAAAGGGGGGTCGGTCAGCCAGTGGTCTGTGGAGAATGTAGTTCGTGAACGCGAGAATTGAAGGCTGTTCTCCGCCACGGAAGAGTTGTAGCGAACGCGACTCGGATCCTTTCAGTCTATGATTATCAAATTACAAGTTATATATGATGAAGAACGGTCAGCAGCGCCTTGGAGAGCCTTGGAGAGCAGTGGGCGCGCGTCTGGGGCGACTTCAGGAGCGATTCTCCGTGAGTTTGAGAGTGTTTTCCTTTGTTATGAAACGTGTTCGCTATACTAGCACTCTGATACAATGTTTGCTGACAGAAAAGTAGAGTACATTATGCATTTCAGTAAGTATACAGTAAATATACATGGATTATTACAGTGCGCTGTAGATGAGCTAACATATCCTTGTTTGACACTGTGAATGTAGAATGTAGCTGCCTGCTAGCGAATTAGCTCAGCTGGACCACGGAGGCAAGCCACGCTGGATGCAGAGATGAAACAGAGATGCTGTGCTCAACTGATGCTGAGGTGAGAGATGCTGTGATCACTATCCCAATACAGAATGCATATAAATGGAATGATATAAAGCTGGAGGATATGGATTCTATTTTAGGTTGTTATAGACCATATATATATATATATATATATTATAATGTAGTGAGGCCTAAATTCACTTGTAGTATTAAAACAATTGATTTCAGTTTTTTTTTTTTATTATTTAGACAAAACAAATAAATGATTGAACGGACCCCAATTGAAACACTGCAGGCAGTAGAACAGCTTCAGTCAGATGAGTTTGAACATTTTGTCATTCCAACTGTTAAAAACAGATGATAAAGAAGTTTTACATTAAATAAATTGTCACTTAATTTTTGTTTAATGTTATGTTTCCAGAAACAGCTGCCAGCAGCCTCTTTGCATTCTTTGCATTTGCATAAGTCCAGATGAGGTCTGGGTATGTTCTTAATTGGTTGACCTCTCCCAAGTTAACGTTGATGGACAAGAAGTATGTTTCTCAACGATCCTAGTTTGAGCTTTCTCTTAAATGATGCATCTATATTAAAATTCCACTCATTATTACAATTGTGAATCCCTTTCATGTGGCTTCTCCCCACAAGCTGGGTCCGTTCCATTCAATTTACAGCGGAGTCTTTATGATCCAAGCAGTTCATGAGTCAAACCCTTTCCAAATACAGCCATCCTCGGAGGACCTGCAATATACGGGATGTTCACTTTGGAGAGGGAGCCATTTCCTATTATTCCGACAGCTTGACACAACCCTCTTTGAAGCATTTATATCAAGGTCGATGGGCCTTGAAGGTTTCTTAACAAAGTGAGTCTCTGGTTGGAGGATCTTTAACGACACATGCAGAAAGCTGGACGGAATCGCTACTGTCCTCACACCAACATCAACCAAACACCTCAGAATGAATTTATGACTCTAAAACGTGTGTAAGTTTTATCCCGTAATGTTCTCAGGTGGGCTGCTACACTCATATATGTTTGTTCACACTTTTGATTCTATAAATAATGAAAAAGCTTTGCTGACGTCCCTAGGAGAGTTGTTAGAGGAAGCCACTAGAAGAAAAAGAAAAAACAACTTTCATGTTGTCTCCTCTGTCCCCCCGCCTGGGCGTCCATCTTACCTTTCACAGCCTGGGCTCGCTGACCCCAAGTGCTTCCAGATGTCATCTAACTCTGACCTGAGCCCCAGCGGCCCTGATCATACGTCCAACCCCACCCCCACATCCCTCTGCACCCTGCAGCCCACTGACAGAGCCTCCCCACGGATGGACAGCTCACCCCCATCAACCTCCACATCTGGAGCCCATTAAGAAGGAGACAGTCAGGGAGAGAGAGAGAGCGGGGTGGGGGTTCAGTTAAATTAGAGTTGGCTGGAATTGCAGTTTGATCTCTCCTCCAGCCGTTACCTTTGAAAA